GGTGCTTTTGACTCGAGCCCTAGTGTGTTCATTCACCTCATATGCATGTAAAAGTTGGACATTGAGTAAGGAAGGTGGAAGAAAAATCGATGCATTTGAATCATTGTGCTGAAAGTGCCATAATGAAATAACAGACGCAGTGGTTTATGGATATGTGTGTGTGAAGGGAAGTGAGAAGCAAATAATGTAGGACGGTGAGGGAGCATTAGAACTGATGGTGATGTGTATACAATTCCTTTTAAAAACTGGAAGTGTGTGATATGAATATTATTATCAAGAGATCTACTAAAAAGAAACAAGAAACCAAACGACCCATGGTTACCCTGGTGAAGGGGGAAGAGTGTGCTTGGGGGACATTGAGTTGATGTTAATGGTGGTGGAGTGATTTGGAAAAGGATCTCAATAATGGTTGTACAACACGAAGAGTATAATCAAGGGCTGAATTGCACACGTAGAGGTTGTTGACTTGGAGAAGGCTTGTGTATGTTTTTGCCATGATGAAAAAAATTACATGAATAACAAAAGGAAAAAACCAGAGGGCAGTGAGAAAGAGGAGGCCCTGGAGGAGATGGGTGGACACAGTGTCCACAACAGTGGGCTCAAACGTGAGATTTGCGAGTGTGGCACAGGACTGGGTGGTATTTTGCTCTGTTTTGCAGTTACTGTGAGTCGAATCTGACTGGATGACACTTCACAACAGCAAATGGACTGGCAAGCTCCATTAAAAAATTATTTTGTACGTAGTGTTGTTGAGATATTTTGTTCATGTGGCAAACTTGATAGGGAGAAGAAAACCGGCCAGAATTGTAGCCTTCTCCAGGGCTATCCAGACCGAGAGCAGGGAGGATATATATATGCCTTTGGGCAGATACACTTGGTGGAATGTTAGCACACCAGACCTTCCTGTGAGCTAGCTGAGTATTGAAACACTGGAAGCGTCTATCTCAGCCTCCCACCGGCCACGTGAATGATGGCCATTAAGAACGGGTGAGGCCACTGCTACTTGCAGGCACAGGGAGCCAGGAGCTAGCAGGCGGCCCTCTGGGAAGCCGGCCTTGTGACCTCAGTGGTTCCCTTTAAACCGTATGTGCTTGTTCTCTTGCACATCATTCCCCTAAAACTGGGACGTCCCAATGTGCTGTGTGAAAGGGGCTTTCTTTCGTACAGAGCAGCCTCATTCTCGGCCTTTTCTTGCAAGCTTGTCTCAGAACACAGTCTGCACGCCCTTACCTCATAGCGCTGAGATAACATACATGGTTATTTTAATCTACACCATGGAAATAATCTTCAGGCTATGAGAAGCTCTTAATTGTCTCAGGTGGGTGTTAGGGTGTGAATTGTGTCCTTCCCTCCATAATTTCTTGCTAATCTCTCTATGGCAGTGAGACCATTTGAGAATTGGGCTTTTTTGTAATGTTAATCAGGGCATACCAGTGTAGGCTCTGTTGTGAGCCAATCACTTTGAGATGTAAGAGAGCAGATTAGACAGACCATGGAGAATGAGCTTCCCCTGTGGGGGAAAGGCAGGGGAGTTGCGCAGAGGAAGACCTTGCTGTGGAGCCAGCAGAGGACAGTGTTCCCCTCAAGCAATTGGACTCTGAGCCTCTGGAACAGCGGGGCTGCTAACTCCAGGTCCAGCAGTTTGAAAACCCCCACCGCCCCGCTGGAGAACGATGTGGCTGTGGAATGTTAGCATCTCAGAAACCCGCAGGGGCAGTTCTGCTCTGTCTCATAGGTCACTAGGAGTCAGAATCCACTCACTGATGGTGGGTTCACTGGTGAGAAAATGAACCTGTTGGCTCAAGCCACTTACTTTTACAGTATTTCTTTAGCAGCAGTACCAAGAAGCTGTGTGGATTTATTGTTGGCTTTTTTTTGGTCCTTGGTCCTTGGTCCTGTTGAAGAAGCCAGTCTGCAGTGGGGTCTGCAGCACAGCCTGTGCAGACACTGCTTGTCTTTGGAGGTGCAGGGATGTGCTGGCTGTTGTCAGGGGCATGTCCTAGCCGCCCCGCAGGCTGCCAGGCACAGGGCCTTCTGGCAGAGAGTGGCGAACCAGAGTGTTTGCTGTGACCTAGATGTGAACGCACTTGAGGAAACGCGTGGTTGTACTTCTGAGCCACTAGGGAGATTCCCCCCCCCCCCCTCCCTAAGAAAGTTCTATTCTGAGAAACAAAGAACTGCTCTCAAAGCTTTGGACAAATACCACTTGGCTCATTCCAAAAACAATACCCAGACATTTTTTCCCCCTTACTGGAGACTCAGAGGTGCCAGAAACACCCAGGCTCTGGCAAGCATTCCCCACATAGGAACCGTGTTACTTTTAAAAGATAGTATCTCTCTTTGGCCAGCTTTGTGATTTAGTAGCTTAAACTATGTGTTCTATTCTTAACTCTATTACAGAATTGATTTAGGACCTTCACTAAATCATTTAATCCTTGGATTTCCCAGCTTTGCTTAACAGTGAGATGAAAACAGTAATTCTCGACACCCTTTCATCAGAAGGATGTGGAGAAGACTAACGGGAGGGTGCTTCTGATTTGCTTTGAACTCATCTGCTGGAAGTGAGACTTGAGATGTTGTGATTTTAGGACTGACGCACAGCCCGGGTACACAAAAGGGCTTGGACTATTCTTGGTCCCTCCCCATAGCAGCTTCTATAGTAGCCGAATGAGCCAGACTTGGGGGTCTGGCCATCTGCAGTTGCCCTCTGCCTGGACAGATGCTGCCCCCAGAGAAACCCAGCCCTCCCTCCATGACACTGCCTGTGCAGCTGTGTAGGCTGTCACTTCTGTGCCTTGTCCCCCGGTGGTGCCGGATCATGGTCTGCGCCAAGGCCTGGGCTGTCAGCCTCTCAGACTTGAGGGTGGGGGTGGGGGTGGGCCAGGTCCAGTGGGTTAAACAGAACCTCTCGGCTGGTCACTGTTTGGGTCTCCCTGAAAGTAGCATGGACACAGATTTCACTCTCAGGATTCATTGAGTAAATTGGAAAAGGAATTTTAAACCTGGCTTCCTGAAGTGCTAAAGCCTTGTTCTATTATTGTGGCCAGGTTGCTACTGGCAGCCCTCGGTTCTGGGAAGGGCGTCCATTGCAGGAGTGCCACTAAAAGCCCAGAGTGCTGGTCTCCCAAGTGGAAATTAAAACTGGTTTGTTTAAAATTTTGAGTTTCTGGCTTGGCTTTTTCTTTCATTGGTAGAGATCAACTGGGTTTCTGCTATTTGTAAATTTCTGTTTGTATCTCCCTGAACCAGAATTTCTATTTAAAAAAAAATCATTTTATTGGGGGCTCATACAGGTCTTATCACAATCCATACATCCATCCATTGTGTCAAGCACATTTGTACATTTGTTGCCATCATCATTTTCAAACATTTTCTTTCTACTTGAGCCTTTGGTATCGGTTCCTCATCCCCCCTTCCCTCAAGAACCCTTGATAATTTATAAATTGTTATTATTTTCATGTCTTACACCGACCACTGTCACCACTGTCTCCCTTCAACCACTCTTCTGTTGTCTATCCCCCTGGGAGGGAATTATATCTTTTCTCTCCCCACCTTCCCCGTCCCCTCCTGGTATCACTACTCTCATTATTGGTCCTGAGGGGTTATCTGCCCTGGATTCCCTGTGTTTCCAGTTCTTATCTGTCCCCGTGTACATGCTCTGGTCTAGCCGGATTTGTAGGGTAGAACTGGGGTCATGATAGTGCCGGGGAGGAAGCATTAAAGAACTAGAGGAAAGGTGTATGCCTGAGCCAGAATTTCATCAACAGGATTTAAAATACATTTTGCAGTTAGGGAAAAGAAAAAAAACATCAGTTCCTCCCCCCAGATGAAGACTAAATATCTTCCAAAGTAAAGGCTGCACAGTTAGAAAACCAAACCAAAAAGCCCACGCCATGCCTTTGATTTGTGTCAGCAGGCCTCGTGGCTGTGCCACTCAACACATCTGCCAGGATCCAGATCTCTGTGATGGCTCTTGTGTAGAAGTTAACGTTGCCAGCTCCTCTTTCCTGGGGCAGAGGGGTGCATCGGGGCAGACTGCGACTCTCTTTCTCCTTTCTTGAACCCATCATACCCAAAAGCAGTTTCTACTGTTTCGTGTCACTGTCATCCAGCTCTTCGGTTTTCATGTGCACATTCTCATAGTGAAGATGGCCGGAGATCTTGCAAAACTCCAGGAATGCCCATTTTCTTAAGTCTGAATTGTTGGGATTGTGGAGGGGGGGGGGGCGCCTCCTCACACTGGTGGTCCCCACACTTCTGCTGCCTTGGTGCATGAGCCCTGAGCTGGCCAAGAGGCATGGGGGTGTACATTTGAACGGGACCTTTGAATGGTTTGGTCTGCCCCAGTGTGTGTCCCCGCCCGCCTCCTCCACACACACTTAGCAATGGGGGAGAGCCATTCCCAGAGCTGGATGTGTGTGAGGTGCCCAGGTGTTCGAGCCGATGCAGCCCGGGGCTGCAAGCTCAGACTTGCCTCACAGTGCACGTGCGCATACCTCAGTCCACGAGGGTGCGTGTACTTTTTATCTGTTTTTAGAAGGTTGCAGAAATCACTTCTTAGGCATATTTAAAAATAGCCTGTAACTCCTCATTTGTCTAAGTAGAATAGAAGCTTGCTATAATGTGCCATGATTCATTTCTCTATTCTAAGATGTAATTGTACCCCATCTACAGGGGTAAAAAATCACAAATCTTGCAACATTGGCATTAGCTCCTTTCTCTGATCCTGTTCTTATAAAGAGGTTCTGCCGCCCCAGTCCTTACCATCATCTGTCTAACAACCGTGCCCGTAATGCCATCTTTGTGCTTGTACTTAAGCTTTTAAACCAGATTAGAATAGGAGGAACAAGGCATTGCCATCCATCTGGAAACAAACACCATTATGGTGGAGGGAACTGTTTGACATGAGCGTGTAAACCTTAGCAACTCTTCTGACTTGTGGAAGGCCTGGGAAAAGCTGCTTGGGAGGTCTTCTGTTATACTTGTTTTATATTTTCTAGGGGCCCAGAAGATACCTGTTTTGAGTTTGGTGTTTTTCCTGCCATCCTGAGTTTTCCACTTGATTATCCCTTAAGTCCCCCAAAGATGAGATTTACCTGTGAGATGTTTCATCCCAACAGTAAGTGTTTCTCGAAGTAGTTTTTATAGTGTTAGGAGTGGCACAGAGGTAACATAAAGCATGGGGAATGTAGCATATCAGAGACTTGCTTGGACCTTTAAAAATAATATTTTCAATTTTTAACACATCATACAATTATAGCGTTGACACCAAGAGTTCACATTCGAAGGATAGTTAATAAAGATTTTAAAACAAACAAACCCTGAAGCTCTGGATGCTCTTGGCCCAGCCTTCCAGCGTCGGTGGGGTTGTTGCCCGGAGTGAGCGTGAGCTTGTGCCTCTGCAGCCGTCACTTGGACTGCTGAAACAACCAGGAACAGGCTCTGTGCTCAGCAGTCTGGCTGGTTAGGTTAATGGCTATGGAAGTCACCAGTTCATGTGAAAGAATGCTAAATAGATACTGTCATGCGATCTTGAACAGAGTGATATTTATGGTTGATTTTGAAAAATGGGCTACCAATCAGCAAGTTTACTATAATCTTATTTTGTTGAAAAAGAATTACATGTAATATGCATATGTAATTGGGAAGTTAAACACAAAACTGTTAAAAGTGATTTTTTTTTCCTCCTCCATGGTAGAATTTTTTTTTCCTTTTTGTAAATAATTTTCTCTAAAGGAAACCTATATTTTTAAAAGAGGGTAAAACATAGGTCATTTAAATAAGTTATATACTTGTTTTAGTTTAAAAACAGTTCAGTAGAAGGGAATGGAATTCCTGAACAGCTGTGGGCTTTCTTTTATAGGTTGGATTATTAAAAAGATACAAAGAAAATGGGGTATGGTTTTTTAAAATAGCATTTAGGATAATAATTGCTTGTAATTTTTATCTACAAGGAGACTTCAAAAAGTTTGGAGAAAAATAGCATTAAAAGATTGGAGTTTTCCAAAAGCTTTTGAATCCCCCGTCTATCTAGTAGAAGGAAAATATTACTTACTAATTTTTCACTTACTTGAATCCTTTTCCTATACTTACCTGCATATCAAGTAGTTCAGGACTAATTTAATCTTTGAAATCATTTCTTTTCTATGTGTAGTTTCTGAGCTTTTGACTTCTCTTGGTTAAAAATAATCCCAGATTGCACACCTTCCCTCGTCCACTCCAGTGTAAATACCATCCATACATGCAGGCCCTACCCTGTCCAGAGAGGCTTTCAACACTGCCCATGGTGTGGGACACTTCCCCTGTTTTACTCAGTGCCAGAACCTGCTTGGAGGGCTCTTGTCCTGGGCTGACGTTGCTCTGTGAGACCACTTTGCACAGTGGGTGCTCAGAAGCAGCCAGTTTCTCCCGGCCAGCAGCCAGCAGCTGGTCAGGCTGTGGAAGCACAGGGACATTCATCGTACTGGTGTCCACTGTGGTGTCTGTTTGAACTCGCCTGTAATAAAAAGCTAGACAAAAGATTGTTACTAGCTAAGAGTTCCTTGAAGGGGCCAACAATCTCAAGTTGATTAACCATAAAATACAACTATGAGGGGGATTGTAGGTGATTTAAAAATTAAAAAAAAAAAGATTGTATTGTGGCTAATAAACATATTAAATGATAAGCATAGGTACCAGACTAATGAACCTGGTAATGTTATTTTTAATGTTCAGACAACTATTATAAACATTTTTTTTTACCTTGCTATAAATTGGTGCTATTTTTATTTTGTAACTTTTATTTAGTGCCTGAGTAGGGTGTGGAGGTAGCAGGGGAGACTCTGGCATGTGAAGAGGCTTTGTGTAAGAAGTGAGGGGAGAGGAAGGCTGAGACCAGACCAGCTGGGGTCTTTTAGGTAGTATGAAGGTGCCATCTTTTTCCTGGGAGCAGTGGCAAGGCATTGAGGAGCATTCTGAGAGAGTGCTCAGAGTGGCCTTCCCAGGGTCCCTGGTTGTCACGTAGAGAGCAGATTGGCGAATATTGGAAATGCCCTGAGCCTCAGCCACACTGCTGCTGCTGCTGCAGTGCTATGCCTGCACTGAGAGGAGTGGGCCAGGGTGATGGGAGTGAGCCTGGTGGAGGGCCAGGGGCTCTTTAGAGTAGGACTCAGATCAGTGCAGGGCCGCGCATGTTGACCCAGCCCCTCAGAAATCAGTGGCAGGGTGGAAGAGTGCATTCCAAGTGCAAGGGCCCAAAGAGACAGGGGTGAAAACTGGTCTGGCATGTTTGGTGACTGCCTAGCGCTACCAACCCAAGGAAGGGGCACTTACAATGACACTTGTTGACCCCATTCTCCTTTCTTGGGGGCTGTGGTGGACGTAGTTCTGAGTTTCGGGCAGGCAGAACGCATGCAAGTGGACTTGAGGCTGACACCCTGTGACGGTGGCCACTGTGCTGACCATGTCCTAAGTGCCTTCCTCAGAAGCCGACTTCAGACCAGCACGCTTCTGGATGGCCAGAGGGAAGTCCCCGTGGGGGTGGGGGGCGGGGTGGGGGTGGGGGTGAGGGGCTGGTGTGAAAGGAAAGCTATGGAGAGGTCAATGATACTGATTAACATGTCTAAATGTTCGGAGTTCTGAGCTCACAAATGCAAATAAATTAGATACATTAAAAATCCTCTGTTATTTCTATTACAGGTTTATTGGCCCTGTAATTTAATAGTTGAGTGTATCCAAATGAATTTCGCTGGAATCTAAAGATAGCCTGCACCATCAGGGGGTCTTGTTAATGGGGGGGGGGGATTAGATTCACCTACAATTAATCTCCAGGTAGTGTTGTGGACCATCACTTTTCTGTTAGAGTAAATTCCCTAGGGTAATCTCAGTTCCTTCTTTTTCTGGATTTAAAAACCACACCAAACCCACTGCCGATTCGGACTCATTTTGACCCTGAAGGACAGGGCAGAAGCACGCTCCACAGGGGCTCTGAGGCTGTAGATCTTCACAGCAGCCTACTGCCTCAGCCTTTTCCTGAGTAGGGATGGTGGGCTTCAGCCGTCAATCTTCCTGGTAGCAACCCAGAGCTTAAACCATTGTGCCACCAGGTCCGGTCGCTTTCACCCTAGCCATGTAAGCAGCCCAGTTGATGTATTTCTCAGTAGAATTAGAAGCCGTGTAAGAAACTAGATCTGAAAGTTGGGAATGGACCTGATTATGCTAGATATGTTGATGTAACGTCTGACTGCCAGGTGGCTTTTCACGTACCCTATTTGGATATAAGGGTCTAAGAATTCACTACAGCCCATGAGAAGTAGACAGGCATAGAGCACCAGCAAGGACCCGAGAGGCTTGGACAGGCCCGGTCCCGGAGCCCTGGCTTGTGATGAATGGGGGCCTTGTGGTGTGTGTGCCCCCGATGTGCCCAGATGTCTAAACAGCCTGGGTCTGTGTAGAGTTACTCTCCGTGGTGTCATGTCCTGTGCCTCTCGGTTCACCTTCTGTGCCGTGTTTTGACTCTGCAGTCTACCCGGATGGGAGGGTCTGCATCTCCATCTTGCACGCCCCCGGCGACGACCCCATGGGCTACGAGAGCAGCGCTGAGAGGTGGAGCCCCGTGCAAAGTGTGGAGAAGATCCTGCTGTCGGTGGTTAGCATGCTGGCAGGTACGGTACCGGGCATACCCGCCCTTTCCTGTTGGTAGTCAGGTTTCCTCAGGGACGGGCCCACAGCCGTTCCTTCTTGTCCCCTGTCACTAGGACTTATTTTCATTAATTGCTAATTAATTTATACCACTTTATTTTCTGCTGTTTCATGTAGTGGCACTGTCATAATCTTGCCCCAGTGTAAGCATGGTGTTCATAATTCTCATCAAGGTTACAGATGGCCCAGTGTTGTACACCTGCTGTTGACCACAGGCAGCTTGTGCTGGTATTGCCACTCTTCAGTGGGCATGTATGAATGCCCTCTGTCCTGGGAACACAAAACTCAGTGTGACAGACCCTAGCGTTAAGGCCTATAGCAAGGGGATCTCTAACTGCCAGCATCCAGACTGGGACATACTTGGGGAGCAGTGGGGTTCTGGTCCACCCCTGGAGGAATCTGGAAGAACACGTGGAGTTCACGAGGTGCAGGGTGGGGAGAGCTTGGGCTGTGGCCTGAGCCTGGGTGGCTGGTTCGGAGCACTGCCAAGAGCTCAGGAGGGCTGGCGCTCAAGCTGTGTGTAGGAGGGCCACTGGGTGCACGGGCTGCCGCGGAAGTGTGTGGAAGGCTGAGCCGAGCCTGGCAACTCTGGGAAGTCCCTGAGGGTTGAGGCACTCCCATTGCTCTACCCCAGTTGCTCCCGAGAGGATCATCCTGGCAGCAGTGTGCAGCACGTGGGACTCCCCCTCTCTTCCCCCACTCCAGCTCCCAGGAGGAGAGCTGAAACTTGGGTCAGACTGGCCCATTGCACAGCCGCCAGGAGAAGAGCTGAGACCTGGTCCAGGAGGCTTAGTTTCTTGGACGCCTTTGGCAGGAGAGTGTGCTGAGGGAGCAGGATTTGGGGTGTGCTGAGTAAGAATCCCTGCTATATGGGACTTAGCTTGGTCAAGGACCTAGATGGAAGTAAAGGTCTGGGCATCATCTCTGGGTTAGGCGGATGGTGAGGGGCACAGGGTATGTAAGAAGGGAGGCTCACAAAGGGAGGGGGTGATGGAGAAGTTGAGGAAGAGACAGGAGCTGCAGAAGGCAGGGGAGCAGTAGCAGACTGCAGAGTCCAGGAAGCTGCGAGGGAACTCCGCGGATGGGGTGTTCCAGCCAGACCGCAGGCTCCCACGCAGTGGCTTGAGGCAGAGTGTAAAGTGAAGTTGGGTTGACTGTGGTGGAGGACGACGGGTGTTTAATAACACTCCGTGTGCTGTGGGGAAGGAGAGGGCAAGCTCGGGAGGGTGGGTGGTTATTGCTTTTTAAGTTTCTGCCAACTAATTGCACCATTCTAAAAATTTTTGGTATACATTTTTTTAGTTCAATGTATTTTTTTCCCTTACTCCTGTCAGAGTATATGTCCTATTTTTCTTAACAGTTTTATTGATGCGTATTGGTACATATCATACAATTCAGTAGTTGAGTCATATTAAGGAGAGTTATACAATCACTACCACAACCCACTTTGGAACATTTTCTTCAATTTTGTACTCATGCTGTTAGCAACTTATTTCTCTTCCATCTCCCCTGGCACAGTCTCTCCAAGAATCTGTTATTCTAGTTACTGTCGTTGGAGGTGGGGGACCCAGCCCCCCCCTAAGCGCAGTAAGCACAATTGTACGGTTGAGATATATAAATATTATATTGAAGTCATCGAGAGCATGAGAGATAGAAGAGAGATTGGAGTAATGGCATCAGACACATTTCATGGTAGCATGCTTACCTCCTGGATGGCCATGATCTTACCAGCCAGATTCGCACCGATGCTTGGTGGGTCAGGGACCCGGCAGGATGCTCGAGGACCCAGCAGGAGGTTGGAGGACCCTGTTAATTGCTAATCCAGGGTTATATCTACTTAGGGGGGCGTGATTACAGATAACCACACATCATAGGAAGGGGCAGTACAATAGGCATACACATTATAGGAAGGGGATTACAATGGGCATAGGCGTAACAGGAAGGGGATGAGCTAGGTCTGTACACATGATAGGAAGGGGAGGGACTAGAGGTATACATGTGACAAGAAGGGCGGACCCTAGATTCATGATGGCAGCCTAATCTTGATCACCCTTGGGCGGGTATGACCTCTCTGGGGTCTCCTACAAGGAAACAGACAACTACTATCCTTATCAGAAGGGAGTGGGCCCTACTTGTGGGATAAACAGTGGTGACTGCTTGGTCTAAATGGTTGATAGCCCTTAGGGAGAATAATTTCCGATCTACTTCTGATGACCTCCAAGTGTATAGTCATTCGCAAGCAGCTAAGTTTGGCATATATTTGGGGAGGCAACTTGGGAGAAATCCTTTTGTTTCCCACAAGTTACTATCTCTTAGATTTATCTATCCTGGATTTCATATACAGAAAATCATATTAAAAAATCTTAAACCTAATAACAATGTAAAACAAAAACCTCATTCAAAATGAAAGCAGAAAATATCAAACACTAGAACAAATTTTAAAAAATTATTTTATTGGAGGCTTGTACAACTCTTATCAAAATCCATATATACATCCATTGTGCCAAGTACATTTGTACATTTGTTGCTACCATCATTCTCAGAACATTTTCTTTCTACTTGAGCCCTTGGTATCAGCTCCTTATTTTTTCCCTTTCCTCCCCCACCCTCCCTCCCTCATGAACCCTTGATAATATATAAATGAGTATTATTTTGTCATGTCTTATACTGTCTGATGTCTCCCTTCACCCACTTTTCTGTTGCCCGTCCCCTAGGGATGGGGTTATATATAAATTCTTGTGATTGGTTCCCCCTTTGTACCCCACCTTCCCTCCACTCTCCTGGTATCGCCACTCTCAGCACTGGTCCTGAGGGGTTCTTCTGTCCTGGATTCCCTGTGTTTCCAGTTCCTATCTGTACCAGTGTACATCCTCTGGTCTAGCTGGATTTGTAAGGTAGAATTCGGATCATGATATTGGGGGGGAGGAAGCATTTAAGAACTAGAGGAAATAATGCAAGAATACTTTCTTCTATTAAATTGGCATTCCCGCCACAACCGCTGAAGACAAAGCAGGTGAATAAGCAAATGTGGTGAAGAAAGCTGAGGATGCCCGGCTATCAAAAGTTAGAGCGTCTGGGGTCTTAAAAGCTTGAAGGTAAACAAGCGGCCATCTAGCTCAGAAGCAACAAAGTCCACATGAAAGAACATATCAGCCTGTGTGATCATGAGGTGTCAAAGGGATCACTGAAGACAAATGGGTACATAAGCAAATGTGGCGAAGAAAGCTGATGGTGCCCTGCTATCAAAAAGTATAGCGTCTGGGGTCTTAAACGCTTGAAGTTAAACAAGCGGCCATCAAACTCAGAAGCATCAAAGCCCACATGGAAGAATCACACCAGCCTATGCAATCACGAGGTGTCGAACGGATCAGGTATAAGGCATCATCAGAACAAAAAACCGTACCATAGTGAATAATGGGGGAGAGTGGAGTGGAGACCCAAAGCCCATTTGTAGGCCACTGGACATCCCCTTGCAGAGGGGTCTCAGGGAGGAGATGAGCCTGTCAGAGTGTGATGTAGCAACCATGAAAAATACAACTTTCCTCTGGTTTCTAAATGCCTCCTCCCTGCCCCCACTATCACGATCTGAATTCTACCTTGTAAGTCTGGCTAGACCAGAGCATGTACACTGGTACAGATAGGAACTGGAAATACAGGGAATCCAGGGCGGAAGATCCCTTCAGGATCAGTGGTGTGAGTGGCGATACTGGGAGGGTAGAGGGAGAGTGGGTTGGAAAGAGGGAACAGATTACAAGGAAGAACTATATGTGACCTCCTCCCTGGGGGACAGACAACCGAAAAGTGGGTGAAGGGAGACGTCGGACAGGGCAAGATACGACAAAATAATAATTTATAAATTATCAAGGGCTCATGAGGGAGGAGGGAGCGGGGAGGGAGGGGAAAAATGAGGACCTAATGCCGGGGGCATAAGTGGAGAGGAAATGTTTTGAGAATGATGAGGGCAATGAATGTATAAATATGCTTTACACATTGATGTATGTATGGATTGTGATAAGAGTTGTATGAGCCCCTAATAAAACAATTTAAAAACAAAAAACAAAAACTAGAGGAAAATTGAATGATTCATGGTTGCTACACTATACCCTGACTGGCTCATCTCCTCCCTGTGACCCTTCTGTAAAGGGATGTCCAGTTGCCTACAGATGGGCTTTGGGTCTCCACTCCGCACTCCCCCTCATTCACAATGATATGCTTTTTTGTTCTTTGATGCCTGATTCCTGATCCCATCGACACCTTGTGATCACACAGGCTGGTGCGCTTCTTTCATGTGTGATTTGTTACTTCTCAGCTAGATGGCTGCTTATTTATCTTCAAGCCTTTAAGACCCCAGATGCTATATCTTTTGATGGTCAGGCACCATCAGTTTTCTTCACCACGTTTGCTTACGCTCCTGGTTTGTCTTCAGCGATCTTGTTGGGAAGGTGAGCATCATGCAATGTCAGTTTAATATAACAACGTGTAACTGGAACAAATTTGAAATGGGTCAAAAAAACTTTTGCAGTAAATGGTTTGTTTATTTAATCATTTAGGTTTTAATTTCAACCTATTTGCATCTGCAGTAATCCGGTTTCCAGTGCACTCTGCATGATAACAAAACTGATCACATCCCAGGTCCGTGGTCAGAGGGGATTCCCTGGGGGCTTCATCCCCTTCCCTTTTTCTTTTAACCTGAAGCAACTTTAAAATGGGTCAAAAGGGAGACCAAATCATATTACCTTCAACCTAACGGCGTCTTCCATAATGGACTTTGCAGTATTTTATGTTTGATAACAAGGTTATTCACACCCCTCCCCTGTGGTCAGCGGGAATTCACCAGAGGCATAATCTGTGTGTGGACCCTGAACATGGGTTTTGGTCTCTCACTGTCATCCATAGCCTTCTGCAAATCCGGTGTTCACAATTTGAACTATGACACCATTCCCTCCTTTGGATTTGGAGTCCGTTCTTTACCAGAGTTTATATCCTCTTTATCTTCTGTCCTTCCCCATGGCACCTGCTTAGCCAGACCTGTGCTCAGCATGGCCTCCTTCTCTGGCTGCCACCCTTGCCCAGCCCACCCTCACCCCACTCTGCCCCAGGGGTCTGCAGCCCACTGGCCTGTGTGAGAGGCATCTGCTGGGACTGCTGCAGGAAGTGGAGTGATCCCTTTCACGCCGTGGGCTCCCTGCACCCCAGGCCGCAGTCCTCAGAGAAGCCTGCTTTGATTGCTTTTGGCCTGTTTCCTGCCTCCTGGGCACTTTTCACAAGTCCCGTCTGTTGGTTTAATGTCTGCCTGTCCCCTGTGGTGGTCCACCTCTGAGGGCAGGACCTTGCCCCTGTCCCCCAGTGCGCACCTGGGACCAGCACCAGATGCCATGCACAGAAAACGAGCCTGTCTTTGAGGGCTGCGTGGTAGGGCAGACCAGGCTGCAGGAGGGGTGGGCATTTTACGTGGGCTTCTTGGTGCTTGAGGCGCATCCTCATTCTAGCAACCTTAGAAAGGAAGGCCCGCACACGATGACAGGGTGGTGCCTCTTGCTCTCTTGCTGTCTTCCTGGTCATGCTAATACTGATGCTGCTCTTTCCTGACACACATCACGGAGTGTAGGCATCACATCCCTCCGGTTGCCGTGCGTAGCATTTCCTGAGCAGGGTGCAGGCAGCTTGTACTGGCATTTGTAGACACTCAGAGGTAGGGATTCTGGGAGTGGATCTTGGTGCCTGGAGGTACACCTGTCCACTGGTGTCCCTGTGCCTTACCCCTCCCTTTAGTGTCTTCTTCCTGCCTGCCTTCCCGGGACATGCATCTTGAAAGCTGTGTTAGGTGGAAGGAAGGTCCTGCGGAGGGGCTGGCCCTGCTCCCCCTCACGGAGAGTGCTTCCCTCTCTTCCAGAGCCCAATGACGAGAGCGGCGCCAACGTGGATGCGTCCAAGATGTGGCGGGATGACCGCGAGCAGTTTTACAAGATCGCCAAGCAGATCGTACAGAAGTCTCTGGGTCTCTGAACGCCACTGGACACGCGTGCACACACGAGGGGGCCTCTGCGTGCATGCGTGCACGCGCATGGACACCACCACCAGGCCGGCTCCTTGCTCCTCCTCGAGAGACCATGACAGTGACACTGCTAGCACCAAAAAGGCAAACTTGTAGAACCGCCGCATCCGCTGTGTTCCCACCACTCCCGCCCCACACGGGCTGCTCTCCTGAGAGGGCGGCATAGGTAGGAAAATGGCAGCTCACTGCCACGGCAAAGTATTTCACTCACCGGAGGGCAGGCTGTCGGCACCGCCTCTACCCCCTCCCCGCAAACTCCACTGCCCCCCAGAGCTCAGGAGCCCCTGCCCTCGTGCCACGTGGAGGGTTCGGACATGCCAAATTCTCAGTGGATTAGACTCCACAGTACTCCTTCCAAAGAAATGTCCCTGCGGCAGAGACAGAGGGAGGGCCTGCCCACCCCATGGGGAACACAGGGCGCTGGCTTTGTTACTACGTAGTGTACCAGCAAGCGCTTTCCCTCCAAGCGAAGTCAACCCTGGTGTGTATTACGAACTGGCACACAGAATCCTCTTGGGAAATACATACCTTCTCACATGTGTGTCGATGGCAACTTGGGAACATAGAAATCTCTTGCTGTCCCTCAGGACCAGCAGCTCCTTTCTGCCTTGACTGCTGTCTCGGATTCCCGAGACCTGCCCAAGCCACCCCGCTGAGATGGCCCTCACCTACCCCCTGGGCGGGTGTGCGCTTCACACCTGTGGTCTGGGCTTTGGTTGTCATCCGAGTGGATGGAGCACAGCAGTGGGCTCTGCCATCGTGGAAGTGGCCCAGGGTCCTAGGCGCTGGGTGCCACTCCCCATATGGACAGCAGGGCTGCGGCTCCGCTTTCTTCGCCCCGCACTCAGCAATAACGGCCCATGGCCCGCAGCACTTGGGCTCAGCGTGCCGCCCAGGCTGTGTGCAGTGGGAGTTTCTACTTTGGAGCAAACAAGGGCTTCCCTTGGCCTCTCCCTCGCTGGACCGAGTGGTCTGTTTAACTGACCCCACACACTCAGCTTCATGGTGTTCACATCACAGCTAAAGGGGCCCCTATGGGCTTCTGTGGAAACCAGATCACTTCTTCTCTTCTCAGCAGGGCCCTGTTGGAAAGTGGAAGTTCAGCACGGCCTGTGGAAGGGGAGGGAGGGAGAGGTGCTCTGAGACAGAGCAGTCTTGGAGCGCAGCAGCAGGCGTGCTCATCTACCCATGGGGCAGGGGGTGTGGGAGCTCATGGGCAGGGCCTCCACAGGGTGCCCACCAGGCTTCAGGCTATCTTGGCAGGAGAGCAGCCATCTCCGTGAAAGACAAAGTATTTTTTTTCATTTGTATTTATTACATGGAGAGGGAAGAATTCCAAATCCCATGCTGTCCTTATTCTGAGTGGTGGAATTTAATGACAATGTAAAACAATAAAGCTCTTTTCCCTGTTCTGGAGCGGCGTGTTTGGCGTGTTTTCACGTGCGCGTGCAGAAGCGGCAGGCTTTCGCCATCGTGGCCCCGGGAAGCGGGTGCCTGACTGCTCGGCACCTGGGCTCCAGAGCCAGGTCAGCTTCGTGCCTGCAGACTGAGTACCAGCTCAGCCTGAAGCCTGGCGCCTGCTGACGTCCTCTTCATCCATGTCCTCTGTTCGCTGGCTTAGAGCCTCGGGGTTTCTACTGAGACCTGTGACAGGACCCAGGAGGGAGTAAATTATGTTCTCCTCACCTCTAGATGACACCTCACGTTTCCTCCATAGCTGTGGGCAATGATGGACGTCAGATGAACGGCACACGTGATCTGGCACTGCAGAAATCTGCAATGTTCTAATCACACCTCTTAGAAGACAGTTTATTCCCTTCACTGCTGTGCAGTGACAGCGGTGACTGGACCTGGTTCTAAAGAGGCACAGGTGTTTCCCGTTTCCCACATCGGCGCATTGGGTTATGGGTTGGGCTGCTAACTGCAAGTTCGGCAGTTCAAAACCACCAGTTGAGGGGAGAAAGATGTGGCTTTCAACTCCCGAAGAGAAATAGTTGCAGAAACACGGGCAGTTCTTCCCTGCGCTACGGAGTCGATGGGAGTCAGCAGCAACTCAGTGGCAGTGGTTTTTGGTTTGGGTAATGGCGTGGTCGCCTCTGCGGTGCTGTGTGTGGCTTCGCTCAGTAAAGAATGCCATTCACAGGCCATTCCTTGGACATCACCAGACACCAGGCCCCTGCGCACAAGCCCGGGCCTTGTCTCTCACTTCCTCCAGCGCTGTCGGTGGGTGCTGTGCTTAAGAGGACACCTCAGCTCAGACTTTTACGCTGGTCTTGTCCTGTGGTGCCCTTGCTGCCTTTGTTAAGTGTTCTTCAGCAGTCCCATGACCCTCTTTATTAACTTGGGTGGTGTGAGACCGTGTTGGGGATCCCTCCGACACCACCACCACCCTCCTACAGCTGGAGATTTGCTGATTGAATAGGGGACTCAGCATCTAGTGCTCACAGCCTGATTTCTTGCAGCAAATGGAGCAGACATGGGTAGTACCTGGGGACAGCAGGTATAAGCTGTCAGTCCCCAGTGCAGTCACACGGGTGCGGTGACAACGTGTGAAGTGTCTACCTGGACTTCACTGGGGGGGGTCACAGGCACCCCCTTGGCTGGCATGAACCCAAACTCCAGATCCCAGGAGGCAGGCCGAAACCACACTGCACGCTTGGGCTCAGTGCGCCTCACTCCCCACTTGATGGTGGTGTCCTTCCCAGGCCCAAGTTCCCAGGGCCCAGCTAGGATCACAGTTGACGGTCTGCGGTGTTACCTTCTTGTTTTGGCACAGAATCTGCCCCCTTTGGAACTTCAAATTCAATATATTTTAAAATGTTCGTTTGCTTGCTGTGTGACATTTCATTGTTAGTGGTTAAGTTTGGCGACCCCCACCCATGGTATTGGTTTTCTGTAAGTGGCTCCTGTGACAATGTCGACCCTTGTTTCTGAGATGTCCTGTTTGCTCCCCTGACATCCGGGAATGTGGGTGAAGTAGAGAGAGCTGTCAAGGTTGTGGTGGGAGGTTTCTGGAATTGCCTGCTGCTGTGGGGAGCTTCCCCGCCCTTCCCATGAGACCAGTAACTCCACTTGCTGCATTAGCCTGGGGACAACCTTGGTTGGTGCCTGCTGCTCAGCCTGACGGGTGAGGGGCTCACATTCACCCTCAGGTAGCCTGATCTTGTCAAAACCTCATTACACCGGCTGCTGTGCTTCTTCCATCTGGGCGTTGTTGCTTCTCAGCTAGATAGCCGCTTTTTCATCTTCAAGCTTTTAAGACCCCAGACGCTATATCTTTTGATAGCTGGGCACCATCAGCTTTCTTCACTACATTTGTTTATGCACCCATTTGTCTTCAATCGTGTTGGGAAGGTGAGCATCATGGAATGTCAGGTTATTAGAACAAAGTGTTCTTGCATTGAGGGAGTACTTGAGTGGAGGCCAATTGTCCATCTGCTACCTTAATACTAAGCCTATAAATATATGCACCTACAGCTATTTCTACATCATATATAGATATATTTACATATGCACATGCCTGTATTTAGACCTGTATAAATGTCCTTTGCCTCCTAGTTCTTTCCTCTATTTCCTCTCGGTTGCATTACCCTTGATCAAGCCCTACCAGGCCTCCTACACCCTCCTCGCCATCGATTTTAGATCACTTGTTCCCTTGTCCCTGGGTTTGTTAACACCTACTTCCTTCCTCCCCCCAACCCTCCTGCCCTCTCACTCATGTCCGCCCCCCCAACTGTCGGTCCATTGTTTTCTCCTCCAGATTGTTTATCCCACTTATCTAGATAGGCATGCAGAGACAATAATATGCACAAAAACAAAAAGGAAAACAAAAATAAATAAAAGAAAACAAAAAACGACAAAAAAGGAGAAAAGCCTGTAAATAGTTGAAGGTCTGTTTGTTGAACTTTGGGAGTGTTTTTCGGTTGAGTCTGATGGGGTGCCACGCCCTGGCCCCCAAATCTGTTTTTGGTATTCCCTGGGGACTTCCTTGCTCTGCTCCCCTTGCTGTTCTGTTGCAAGCCCTAGAGTTTCGCCTTGATGTGATGGGGTCAGATTGGGCACAAATCCTGTACTGTCTCCAGTGTTGGACCCCTTACTGCTATGGGTCAGCGAGGGCTGAGTTGCGGCTTTTTTGCAGTTTGGCGTCTGGATCAGATGACTCGCTACCATTTCTTACATAACTAGTGGCTGTGATGCTGCCGTTCTTGACCGTAGGGCTCAGAGTTCCCTCCGTGAAGCGAGTTCACTCTGGCTTAGACAGAAGGAATGCCCAGGATTGCCCTCTGCGTGCCTCGGACCCTGAGTCATGGCTGGGCTCAGGGCTGTGCTGGCGGCTGCTGTGTACATGCATCCGAGACGCTGTGCACCCGAGCCCTCCTCCCTGGGTCAGGCAGACTGAAGCCATTCATCGAGCTATGAGAAGCGGGGAGTGGAGGGCGGGGATTCTGCTGAGGAACACGTAGGACAACGTTGAGGTGAGTTGGGGTAGCCACAGAGCACAGAGCTGGGACAAGTGCCTGGTTCCTGATTGATTCATACATTCCTGTTCCAAGAGAGCCGCCCCTGACCGTCTGAGACCCCTCTCCATCCCCAAGTCTGCACGCGAGCAAGGTGTGTCTGAGCACCTCTGTCCCTGAGGACCCTTCCCTGTCACAGTCACAGCATCTCTGCTGGTCTCTGCCTGTGCGTGTCTGGTTACTGGAACCCTGGGGTCGGGCTGGGAGCCGCAGGGCACATCTCTTCGGGCCGCTTTGCTCCTGTGCCTCCCTTGGAGAAGAGGGTCCTGGAGCCTCGAATGTCTCCCTTTTCCTTCCTCCTCGCCGACTGGTGTCAGGGAGCTAGAGGCCGAGGCGGCTGCAGTCAGGGGCCCTGTGTACTTCCTGTGGGCCCAGGCCCCTCACTGGGATGGAGGTTAGGGGACTGGCTGACTGAGGCAGTCGGTCTGGGGAATGGGATAGTGGGAATGGGTCTAGGGGGAGATCAGAGGCCTGGAAGGAGGTGCTCCCCAAAGCCATGGGAGCCATACATCCAGCAACCTGCCCCTCACTACTGACCCTGTATCTGCCTTGGAGTCCCGGGGTGCATTGGCTGCCTCTCTAGCTAGTTCAGTGAGCCTAGCCACATGGTGCCCCCAAATGCTCAGTGGGAGTTCTACTCCACCCTGCTCCTCAGAGTGGCAGTCCTGCCCACGTGCTGGTGGGGCCCCCAGGCTAGCGTAAACCCAGAGGCCAAGTGATGGCAGGGAGGGAGGAGTCAGCTGTCTAGGGGGATAAAGGCTCCCCATCTTTATCCAGGCCGTCTTCGGGCAGTGTGTCCAGAGCTGGGCCCCACTGTGTGGGCTGGTAGCACCCCTGAGGACAGCATGCGTCTGCGTCTGTGTGGGGTAGCAGGCCGGCCCGGGAGTTGGGAATGGATGCAAGAAACGTGTGTGGCCGCCATCAGCTACGATACCAGCCTAGGTGTGGGGCCCTGTTACTGCTGGCAACCGAGGTGAAGTGGTGGGCCTGGTGGCGCGGAAGCCACACCGACCAATCCAAAGGACAAGGATGCAGGTGGAAGATGTCAGTTCACGGAGTCCTGTGGAGATTGGAGCCCATTTACTTGTTTATTTATTTATAATCATTTTATTAGGGGCTCATACAACTGTTATCGCAATCCATACACACATCAATTGTGTAAAGCGCATTCCCTCATCATTCTCAAAACATTTCCTCTCCACTTAAGCCCCCGGCATTAGGTCCTCATTTTTCCCCTCCCTCCCTCATGTGCCCTTGATAATTTATAAATTATTATTTTGTCCGATGTCTCCACCCACTTTTCTGTTGTCCGTCCCCCAGGGAGGAGGTCACATATAGTTCCTTGTAATCGGTATATGGAGCCCATTTATACAAGGAGCTCAGAACCCGGATGGGCCCAAAAGACTGCATCTCCCAGCATGTGTTCCCCCAGTATGTGTACCCCCTGAGCCTGCAGAGGACCCCCACACACACACCCCTCCCCACCCCTGCCACTGTGGTGAGGAATTCCTCAGTTCCCCTCCCGTCCAGCGCTTGTGTGTGCTGTTGCCCTAGCCCCATCAGCCCCCTTAAGGCAGGGAGGGGCCTCTAAGCAAGACCACCCTGGATGGGCAGCACTGCTGTGGCCAGTCCTCCAAGAGTGTGGCCCCCTGCCAATCCTGCTGTCGATTCATTTCCAGCTCGTACAAACCAAAACCAAACCCATATCCACTGCCGTTGGTCCATCTCCAGCTCAGAGCGGGCCTGTAAGAGTGGAGCTTCCCGTCAGTGCCTGCAGGAAACCTCGTCTTTCTCCATCACAGCAGCTGATGGTTTCGACTACTGATCTTGAGGTTAGCACCCCAACGTGTGATCAGTGCCCAAGGCTCTCTATGTAGGATGTCCGAGGCTATAACTCTA